GATTGTATATCGTACAGTTCCTTTCCTTGTAAGCACCGCAAACCAATCCCTACGAACCAAGTATCCAGAAACTTAATTTTCATAATAATTGGGACGTACTTTCTACATGAAAGTCAATCATTATCGATAAGCGGTGTATATCTCTCTCTGCAGCTTCTCAAAGGTCAAAGCTCAATCCCTGCTTCTTGTTACTAGAAATCCTTGAACACCGAGAATAAACCGAGTTTTTCTGATCCTAACCTATCAGATAATTTCCCTGTTTCAAATCTCGCTTCTAACTTTTTTACGCACACCTGGGCGGATAATTGCTCAGTACTCTAATAGACAGCAACCTTCAAAATTCTGCCGATAAATCTTTCAATGCCTAACTCGAGAGAATATTTGAATTGGGATTGTTTATCATTGTTAAATAACAAGCTGTATATTATGCCAGAGAAGAGAACTGAATACTTGCTTTAGTTTCTGATCAACGTCACTTAGCGGCGAGCAATTATGGAAAAAGGATTCTGGAGGAGGAGTTGATGATTGGTATGATGTGGCGACCGGAGACACATACGACCACATGAAAACAAAAAACATATATACAGGTTGAAATAATTAACATTAGTGGGTCTGATTGAGTTCTAAAGCGAAATGATGGATGTTAAATAATTTTGTCTAGCGTTAATCACAGATACAGCGGATCGATCGTACTTGAAGTTTGGACACCTGGAATTTTTGCACAGTCACCAGCCTTCACCTGACGTGCTTCTTTTAAACAAGTCAAAGAATATATCATCGATTAAAGCTCCCCTTCTTTTTTTTTCTTTCTTTTTTTTGGTCGGCTTGCAATGCATCTCACAAAGTTTTCGTTTGGGAATCCTCAATCAAAAAGGTTATTCGCGGGGAATCTTTAGCCTGCTTTTTTTTTTTTAGCTTAACGGCACATGTAACCTAGTCTAGCCTACTCCTACTCCTAAGGGGAGGGGAAACCTACTCTATGGGGTGGCCCAACTGAGCCGGGGGGAACCTGATGGGGACTGAACCACCATCAGACCAGACGGGTACACCACACACCCGTATGGATTTAGAACAAACCTCATATTGAGGGACATTGATGGGAGGCAAGGTTTGAACCCTTGACCTCCCACCCCACAATTAATGTGGTGGCATGCTTCAGTGGGATCAACTTTTTTTTTTTTTTTTTTTGGTATTTTAACTTGTAGTGTAATTTTCAGCAACCACAAATACACAATATATGGGGGGAAATGAAATACTGGAAAAGAAAAACCAACCCAAAAAGGGAAATCATTTCAGAAATTCAATTGCTAGCTGTTTGAGATTTAAAATACAGTAGTATCATTTATATACACAAGTCAATCTCTTGGATTGTTTTACTAGTACTAGCTAGTATTTTAATCCAATGCCAAAAAAGAAAGAAATTAAGAAATGATCACCAGCTGTTATCCAACAAGACAGATCAAATATCAAGTTACAGGAAATGCATGTCAGATGAACAGTGCGCGTACGCATATTCACAAAAACAAGAAGCAATTGTAGTAGATATCATGAAGGAACCGATGATGATCATCGCCATTCAGTTTTGCTGATAGGATTTATTAGCGTCTGTCCCCTCCTAGAATCCATACGTAACAAAACAGAACAGCGTACTTTCGAAGACTGTGTTGCAACCAAGGACATGAATCATGATAAGCTTGATCTCGGTGACTGAAAGAGACTTGCAATATATAATTGCACAGGTGGCCAAACAATTCACGGCGAAAAGACACGTGTGGCCGTGATCCAATGGCCATCATTTTCAAAACCCCCCCCTCTGCATAGATTTCAATCATAGAGAGGTTCCATCCCATTGATTGGGAAGGGGATCCCTTTTTCTCGTGCCAAATTTGGTCAATCTCTCAAGGTCCGAATAAAAAGTTTTCATTTATAACCTCGACCCCAGAAGAAGGAAAGGTGTGCAAGATCTAGAAAGACCTCCCCGAATTGGCGGACATTCAAAAGAGACGTACTCTGCATTCGCAAACCTCATTTGATTGCAAGTTGAAACTAAAATGTACGACCCACAAAATGGTCATAAAATGGATGTCCATTTTTTGCTTTTATGTATGGCACTGATTTTTACCCCCGGCTGCCAGATACGTGGGGTGAATTAGATGCTAATGGCGGGAGCACTACCGAGTTTATCTCAAAAAAAAAACATCGAGTACTTATGAGATGTTTTAACACTAAGAACCGTAATTGAACTCGACAACTAATGGTGAAATTTTGTGCCACCTAACATGGAAGGAAGGTGACGACGTTTCTTAATTACCACATGAACTTGGCAATGATTGAGTACGACAGGGTTCTCATTTGACTCTGATAAACATACATGCATGTAAATTCTAGATTTTGAAGCATCCATTTTTTTTTGTATTGGTGAAACTGTCTTGGAAGGAAACAAAATTGAGTTCCTTATTTTTCAAAATCCAGGCGGACGTCCTGGATAAGAAGCTTGATGATTCAAGTGCGTCGAGAGCTGGCTAAAGTGCTCGTAAATGCAATGATTCCTGGTTGAATGGAAGCTGACCACTTTTCGAAACCATAATTAACCTGATCTGGTTAAACAATGAATTGGCTAAGATCGATGTTTTTAGCCAATTCTGGATTTAAAGCTCAACAGGTACATGGCGTCTCCGTATTCGACTAGATAACTACCGTTCCCAGAACGTCCATCGATTCGGATTACTACGACAAATTGGCATTTGGCAGTGATCAGCAAAGCTTTATGGAATTCTGGCACAGTACATTTTACGCTAGCTGGTACCGTGCATTATACAGCCTTCACTCGCCATGTCTCAGAGAGGAATTTTTTTTTTTTTTTTTTTTAATTCTATTTTGGACAGCAAATCATTTCCATCGAAAAATATCAAAATCAAGCTTGTTTGATGAAAAAGAAATAAAGTTAAAATAAAATACCGCATTCAGAGGAGGAGAATTAGTGAAGATTGAAATGGAGTGCTTTGAACCAGATATTCAAATTAGTTTCCCTCAACTAGAGGGAGCTGACAAGTTCGTGGTCAAGAGATTTATGTGAATGAGAATCCTTGAGCGCTTCAGCCTCCTCTATTGAGTATTGGCTTCACAAAATGAAGCGTACTCGAGCATTTATTACACAATTCTCCTCAACCAATTACTACCACTCCTTGACTGCTGATCAGACCACTCATATTCTTTTTGAGCTATAGAAATGCTGCAAATCTTGGTCTGGGGTTGAAACTTGAAACTGAAAGAGGCACCAGAAATCCATCAACAGCAACCCCCAAAGCAAGTTGTTTCAGCCTTTTAATTAAGTCCAGTAACTCTCTAGTTGATGCATCATTTTCCATCCTTAGGTTGCCTCGAGAGACGGACGTTGAAGCACAACCAGTCATCGCACTTGAGTAACTAAACTAAACGACTGACAAGCCTGTTACCCAAGTACCGTATGCATTTAGTATAGGATCTTGTTGTGGTGGCTATTGATGCGAAAGAAGCGCCAACCAAACAAAGATCGAAAAATGTCGAAATTACAAAACCTAAACCTCTAAACAAAGGCATTAAAATATACTAACAGAAACTTTCCTCCCCTAAACGAGAGCAGATCCTCTGTCCAATATTTTGTGTTCAATTTCCTGTCTAATGTGAAACCACGTAGTTTCACTTATTATATCTGCTGATGTGGCAACTAAAAATAGGTGGCTGTTTGATTACCTTATAATTCTTTTTATTTTTTCTTTTTTGGGTTTCCTTTATTTACACAACTTTGTTACAATTCTCATCTTTTTTAAACTTTGTGAAATCCTTAATACTTTGTTTTTAAACTTTGTGAAATCCTTAAAGGATCTTTAGATTGTTGCTTCAAACTTTCATGTGAAACTACATTTCTTAAATTTTTCTTGCGATTTCATGGTTGAATCTATAAATGTTCTATTAAAATAAGGTCTTTTTAAAAAAAAAAAAAAAAAAAAAAACTAGAGAGGAGAAGAGAGGAGAGGAGAAAGGAGTTTTGAGCTTGTATAATTGTTCCTTAAACTGCCTTCTAGATTAGCAAGTTATTTCACAACCCTCTTAGAAATTGAAATGGAGTGTTTTGAAACCAGACAGACAAATTCCCGTGGATGAGAGGGAGCTGACAAGTTCGCGGCGGCTATGAGATTTATATGTGCATGAGAATTAATAGATAGCCTCTATCTACTGGATCCACAGAATGAAGTGTCAGGCATTTATTTATTAGAATGAAGTGTCATCAAACAATTATTTAGTTTTAACCGCTAAGACCACTCAATGACTTGTGGAAATCTTTTGGTTTACGGCTGAAGTTGACAGATACACCAGAAATTGGTCAACAGCAACGCCAAAGCAAGCAAGTTGTTTTCACCTTTCAAATTGTAATAAAAGTAAATCTATAGAGGGACATTCCCATTCGCTTGGGCTTCCAAGCGAAGGCCCGCACCCACGATTCCCAGTAGTAAGTCGTCGGCAGTAACCCAAACTCAAGGAAGTAAAAGGGCAGAATAAACAGTAAATTGGCTCACAAGTCCGTCACCCAACGCAACTATAGGAAACATCTTGTAGTACGAGCTTCTTGCAGTAGGGCATTGCATTGCTGCAATAGAGGCGGCACAAAAAACCAATAAACAAATAAAGGTAGCGAAATTGGTAAACACAACTACGTACTAAAGGATAGATAAAAACTTTCCTCCCCCAAATATTAATTATAGATTAAAGTTTTTGTACCTATATCACTCATATAATTAAACTAGCTAATAATAGCCAAAAAAAAAAACTAATAAAAACAGAGCCCATCCGAAATTTTGCAAAAGCTCGTGAACGGGCAAACAAAACAACATGAAACTTCAAATTCTAGGCAGGCAATGGTGATAGAGAAGGGGAGGAATGTAGACACTAGCTAGTTTCGTTTCTTTCTGCAGAAGAAACCAAGAGGCTGGATCAAGCTAAGCCATGCAGCCCTTCACATTTCACATGATGGAGCAGCAGTTGATTCGCTCATCGTCATAAGGATCATATCCTCGCCGAGGATATGATGGCACATGCCTTGGCTGCGGCAGCGCTCCGCCACCTGCGGTGTGGCTGTACGAATTAGGATAGTACTGCTCGTGCCCATAACAACTAGTATGATCAGGCAACGACCTCCCATACCCATGCCCATAGCCGCCGCCACAAGGGTTGTTCTCCAGAAGTGCATCATAATTATAGCCGTGGCGACGCCTACATGAAGCATCTTCGTTTATCTGTGGATGCTTGATGTCCATACGAACCAGCTCTGCATGTCTCCCGGATGTTCCTATTGCCCTCAGAAGCATGTTTGGATCAACTTCGCCGTAAATCTTTGCTAGCCCTTCCTCACCATCTATGGCGACAGAATACACCCCTGCAACATGATTTTTGTTTTTTTTTTTTTAAAGAATATTTGCATATTGGATTGTGACGCTAGCTATATAGTAACTGGGAATTACCAACTATAGAGCCGAGGATTTCCATTGTCTTCATCTTGCATCCTTCACAATGAAGGTTCACTTTCAAAACACAAGCCTAAATATACAAATGGAGGATCAGAATATGAATGCTTTTTGGGATGAATGGTACAGATCTAGCTAGATGAGCAACATTATGAAAGATAAAACCAGAATGGTCATTTATCTTTGTCATCCTCTACCTTACCACAAAACTAAAGTTCTGCGGATGCCAGATTAAAAAAAAAAAAAAAGGGGTATCGTTAATCATGCCAAAAAACAAATAGAATCACCATGCAGGGCATTAACGACAGAACTGTGAAAGCTTTCGATATGAAAGGAAACTATGTAAAGAATATCACTGCAGCGTCAAAAACAAATAGAATCACCATGCATGCATCAAATAGAATTGTTATATCGATTCTGGACATCGAACTCACGTACAACTTTATGAATGTATTGAGCCTTCATGAGAAACAGGTTATTGGACAAGAATAAGATTGAGTAGGAAAACTTTAAAAAAAGAACATAATCGAACTTAAACATGGTTAGGTTGCAGGCAGTTCATATACATAACTCCTTTTAGCCAAATGTAAAATTTGTATACAAACCCATCTGTAGATTCATGGACTGGCTTCATCATCTTAACACCACACTACACAGACTTCCCGTCGTTTAATTATTTTCCGCAGAATAGTTTGTGGAAGATTTCCCACCAACCAAAGGCAATCAATCATAAACACACAAATATCCGGTGAGCCATTAATTATTGAAATTTATATTAACTTCAAGATCTGGACAAATATATATTTCTTTAACAAGCTAGGGGGGATAAAAAAAAAAAATTTTTATCGTTTCAAATCGTACGTAGTAGATTATTATATATAACATATCAGAAGCTTAATACTGTATATTAATATGATATAGGAGTAAAGAGGAATCTGAAACAAAAGGGATTACCGCATCAGCATGAAGTGCCATCGAAATCAAGGGTTTTGAAACTTCTTCTCCCTCGCTGCCCAAATACGTACTCTAACAATAATACTATCAAGAGGTGAATGCTAAACTGATTATTTTGTAAGAAATAAAAAGATGGAGAGAATGGTATTTATAGATTTGAAGTTAGCCTTCCTTGTGATCGCCATTAAATATAGTAAGAAACCTACCATTATCTATACCTAAATAAAAACTTTCCATGCATGTGAACGTTCTATGCTCGCTTCATTTGAAAGTCGAAACCCCATAGTAGTTCTTCTGGTTTATTATGTATAGTAGGAGATCAATCAATTGATTCTACTTTCCATATCTTAGATACTCTACTTCTCTTTAATTTTCTGTTCCAAATTAAATGGGAACATTTTGCTTCCACGACAGAAGATCTCGTCAATCATCCAAAATTCTAGGCACCCCAAATCACCAATTACAAGGTCGGTGGTATATTTGCATATCTTCCCCCCCTTTTTTTTTTCAATCAACAGAGGAAAAAACTGTCGGTGCCTCCAAAATCGGTTTAAGCATTAAATGTCGGCGACCGGATTGCAAAAATTAGGCTAAGCTTTAGTTACTAGCAAAAGATCTGGGATAAATAATTTCTTTTAATGCATTGCATGTAAAACGGAATGGCATGAATTAAGTCGCACCATTGCCATTGGTAAGTAAAGTGCAAGACGATCTGGACGTAAACAAAGGTAAATACCACCCCCAAAAGTTCTGTTGAGAAAAAAAAAAAAAAAAAAAAAAACCGGAAGGGTTAATAATATAATTTGCATCCACGGTGAATCGTTAATAAAATAAAATAAAAAACACAGGTAGATTTAACCATACTGTAAAACATCAGAAGAAATGACAAAATACTAATCTTGCATGAATTAATATAGCGTCGATCAGTTTGTACTCAGTCTCATTAGCTAACCATCAAGCCAAGTTACAAGAAATATCTCATAAGCTCAAAACCACATTAAGTCGGCGTTACAGTGGAATCATGCGTTGAGTTGACAGATAACTATTTAAAGTAATATTTCACTTAAATATGGGAATTCTCGAAATTTGATTTAATCACGAATACTATGCATCCCATTGATCACAAAATGAATATTTTGGATTTGGTGCAATTTTTTTTTCAAAAATTCATAGTATCAAAATTCTTTGTGACCAATGATGAATTCCCTTTTTTTTTTTTTTTTGGTTGGCTGAAAAACAGAAGTATTAATAAGTCAAAGTAAATGGAAGAAAATGGTGGGTATTGATAGCCGTCAAAGCCAGAGTACGTATAACTCTACATGGAGAGTCACACCCTCGATGAATGATTTACTGCGCTTTAAGAATCACAGCCTCGATGGGTATTGCATGTAAGAATCGAGTCGTTGCAGACACTGCAACCATTAATGTGAATCAAATTTAAGGATGAGGCTACTTTTTGTAACAATCGCTACAACAATGATTCTACTACCAATTGTGGCTCAATATATAATATCGCCCGTCATTCATACGAGTATCTAAAAGTATAAGCTCAATCCTTTTGTCTAGCTGTCTGCATAATTTCTTTCACTTTTGTTGCCGTGTTATTAGTGTTCCCTTGTTATTTAGACAAACAATTTGTTAGTTCAACTTGAGAGTTGGCATACTGAAATTAGTCCCCAAAGAGAGAGAGAGAGAGAGACAAGCTTGGAAGAAATGAGATCAAAACACTCCACAGTTATGAGCAAACCACGTACCAATAGTTTTAATTAAGAACAAAAACACTCGCCTTTGCATGATGTCTTTATTACTAGTAGCATATATAATAAGACCTCCTGAAAAGGCCGAACCAAACAAGTTACAAACTCATACTAATTGTTCGAACTCCAATAACAGAAACCCAAACAAACACGAAATTTAACTACGTAGACAAATAGTAGCATATATTTGTAGAAGACATAGCAAGAAGCCAGCCGTTGACAATGCAATCAACCGTTGAGGAGATCACCACATGCCAAAGCACTTGAAGGACCCCTTGCGGTGTCGCCGAGGCAGCTCCGGCATGTACGTAGGTGGTGGAATCAGCCCTATAGGGCGGTGGAGCCGGTACACCCTCCTATGCGGGTATGCAGCTGTAGGATGTATTCTTCCGTAAGTGTAGCCGTAACAGGGATACCCGTAACTGTAGCCGGGGCCAGAATTACGTGAACCATCGCTGTTGATTTCTGGATGCTTGACATTGGCATGAACCAGCCGTCCATGCCTGTTGTTGAATGATGTTATGGCACTCATGAATTCTGCAGGCTCAACTTCACCATAAAAGCAAGCTATCCCTTCATTGGGATCTATCCTGACCGAATAGACTCCTAAAACACAAATTAATCAAGAACAAAAAATTAATTGCAATGAGGAGAAAGCGAAATCAAAGAGCACTGATGGAGTGAGTGGATTAATTGTTAGGAGTACATACCGACTACAGAGCTGAAGACTTCATGAGCCTTCATCTTGCATGCCTCACAGCGGATGTTAATTCTCATCAGACAATTCTACACAAATGCAACAATCAAAGACAAAATATTCAAGATTTTGGTTTTTACAAATAACGTAGGGATAAGTCTTTATCCTCACATGTAAAGGTAAAACCAGAACTGGAAGATTAAGAATAATAGTATTTTAAAACGCTAAACATGGGAGCTCCATCAAATGAAAGAGTGGAGTCAATGTAAACTAAAATCTACACGCAAGGAATTATTAATCTGTAGAATCAAAGATTGTCGATCTTTTTATCAAACAAAAAAATGAATTTTTTTTTATAATTAACTATTCAAGTCATCACACATCCTGCACCAACGACTATTAACGATAAACCCAAAATTTAGAGTGAATGAATATGAAATATATCTGCTTATAACGAAGACATTATTGTTATCTAGACAAAGGCCACTGTTTTAGGGGGACATAATTTTGCGTTACAGAACCAATAGAGAAAGCATAATAATCAACACATATGCATCAAGAAAACTGAAACAGGCTTGAACGAAAAGCAAAAAAATAAATCTTGGTTTACCGCTTCTGCGTGCGACGCCATCAGAACTTGCCCTCGCGTTCTCCAATTGCCTCAAAAACAGGGTGAATGCTAGTATCTAGCTTCGTGAAAAAGAAGTATGAATGTAATGGTATTTATAGATACGGTTTAGCCTTCTTGGAATGAAATTTAGGAAAAATTCCATTATCATATATTAAAGATACACTCAATATATTATTCGCTACCTAAATTAAAGACTTTCCATGTATATCCGATTCATTGCACTCAAAAACCCTAGTAATTTCTGCCAACAATGTTGGAGAAAATTTCCTTTCCATGTTTTGGCGTTTTCTTTCACTCGTTTTTGGACATTCTTTTTTCTTGCATGCACCGAGTTTATTCCTTACAAGTTGAAGATCTCGCAATCGTCATAAATTCTGATCGTATAGTAGTATGAGAGGTTACAATGAGGGGCAAAATAAGACGCGTCTTTTTTTTCTTTTTTTTTTTTGGCGAGGGAATTTAAATGAGGCAAAGAAGAGCATTCCGTTTCTTTCGAAGGAAGATAAAAATCTGCATCTCTCCAATTATCCCATCAGATTAAGAGAAGCATTTGTTTACCATCCTTCCCACCGACTTCCTTTACATTATACTCTTCAGTATTTTTGTTAGCAAATGATATCCGTGAAATCAAACGTGCTTTGAACGAGAAAAAATTGAAAAAAAGAAGAAGATGATGATGATGATGATGAACATATTTAACTGTAACTTTAATTCTGGACTTGCAGATAATTAGCAAAACTTTAATCTGGAGAGGATTATATCGGATTCATTAGAAACTGTCTCTTATCTTATGAGGGGACTTGGGAAAACATTTACCAACTTATGATCGTGCTATAATGACTACATTGAAGATTTGCTGGAAACAATGAAAATTTAATATATATAGATTGGGTGTCCGGAGCTTGAGAGCAAAATAGTTCCACACAACAGGCCCGATCAGTGTATTTATAAACTTCTTAGCATTCATGCATAGAGGTACTGATCCTAAGAATATTAACCTGACCAGCGGTCAATGTACAATCTATCAGGGAAAAAAAAATAAAAGGGGCCAGTGTACAATCTATCAATCAAAAAGGAGGTCCTCTCGTGTTCCAAATAACGAACTATTTTAGATGTAGACTCCTCCTTGGATCTTGGATGGAAGATACTCCTCAGACAAGAATGAAAGTGACTGCACCGATAATGCTTCTATCTCACATTTGAGTCCTCGAGAAAGGAGCAAGTCCAGTTCAAACCTTTTTTGAAAAAAAATGACCAAATTGTCAGCGTTGAACGAGAGAAATAGAACCAATGAGACAAAGACACAGAATTCAACCTCCACTGAGGTGCTTCGCGTCGCAAGTAACACCTTAGTAACATTGCTTCAACTCTAGTCTTATCTGACAAGGAATTCCGGACTTTTATGAGATGTATTATGAAGTACGCCCAATTCAAGTTGTCGAATCCGCCATACACACTAAAAAACAAAAGCAAGAAAAGAATAGAAAGGGAACGAGTAAGAGGCTATCCTTGAGCATGCATCTTACCTTCTCTAGTTAAAGGTAGCAGACACTGTTGAGGAAGGCAATACTTCTCAACTTCGGATGGAAAAACACCAAGCCACCTTATCTCTGGAACGCATAGAAATTTTGCATCATAGGCCATTTGCTTCAAAATCGAGAGAAAGATATCAGTCAATGAACCAGGTAATCAGGCTTCTATTTTATAGCAGAATTGCAGGTTCCCATCTCCATCACACGTACATAAGAATTTGATTATGCTAGCACGCGGTCAATATGTATTGAGAGTGAAAAATACTTCAGTTATGAGATCTCACCATAGAACCAAATCTGTAAGTTGTCAAGATATCAATGCCATAAGGATCACAATCTACCAAACAATAGGCGGGCAGATGCAGCTTTTCAATAAGGAGGCGCAAAAATCTGGTTGAAAGGCAAAGCAATAGCTACTGTTAAGATGGCCAACCAGAATCTTGTAGGTCATATGTTGCATATCTCAACAGCAATCGGAACAATAGCCTTTACCTTCTCGTTGGCACATCAGGATAGCCTCTTCCCTAACAAGCAGACGTCAAATTATATAATTGTGCAATGAAATTCAACCAGAAGAAAACTAACTGTGATGAAAATGTAACTCTTTCTTTGTGCAACAAGGATCATTCACTAGTTCTGGAATACTAAACTCACTGTGACCACAATGCAACGGTTTCTTGTGCAAAAAGAATCATTCGCTAATCTCTGGAATACTGAAGGGTATATGAAGAACAAAAATGGTTAAAAATAAGAATCTAAATTATCATGATGATAATGAGCACCAGTTTGCTAAGAAAAAATCATATACCTGATTCTTTCTCGACAACTAATATATACCGAGCAACACCAATTATATCTACTTGCAACTATTAAGGATCACAAGATTCCATTTTGCTTATATTGACCTTTGCTAGCAAACTAAATCTAATAGCAGACCACTATAGCATGCTAGGATAAACTTTGATTCAGCCAATTTGCATGTTAAGTATGTCCTTGTTGAAGGAAGAGACCGAATGCTCTAAGCTATTGGACCGAATTGTAGTATCAAAGAAAGGCTATATCCATTTCTTTGTCAACCGGATACTTTCGACATCTTCCACGTGAACAGGCACAGGATAAGCCTGCACAACAACCAGAAAATAGCCATAACTTTCATCCCAGCTTCATCTGAAAATTTCAACGTGAACATTTATTCTCATCTTTACCGTGTTAGGATTGTTGATGCAATCAAATTTCCTCCCAGCTTCTGAAAATTTGAGCCAACCCATAACCATTCTACATCAGAAGAATATGTGATGTAAATTAGGGCCACAACTGTCATAATATCAATTGAAGTCGGTATAAAAAATCAGAAGAAAATTTCAGCATATAAAAGTGATTGGTAGTTTTGCAATACAGTAAAATCACATCTTGCTGACAAAATATGGTAATGCCACGTTGAGGATAACTACAGAAAATGTCTTTTTTGGTTAGAGACAAAAAAAAAAAAACTTCAGCTCAGATGCACCGGATATCAGTATCATAACAGGGTACTCTTATTAGGCAAAAGTAATAATCATAAGGGCTGCAGTTTTCATGAAACTAACAAGCATGAAGTTGAGAGAGATAGCCAACAGAAGCCATGTCAGATTTCAAGTACTAGTAAGACAATCCACTTGCGGAAGAGACATGTGTCACATTGACCACATCATTTCTACATGTCATGCTTGAAACATAGTTCCAGTGATTTTGATATGGAAATTTACTTTTGCCATATTCAGAAGAAGTTACCAACCCATTTCCAACAGATACCTGCACAAGAGAATCACAGATGCATTACTTTCGTGGTCATAAGTTTCTGAATAGTCGGGCAATCTTTTGAAGGAGTTTGAATTATTCAAAATGATAGCAGTGAAGTCACATGCATTATCAAGGCAGCATTTTGACATGGCCATGTGCAATAGCATACGTAAGTAGCACTTGGAACTCTTGAGCAAAGCAACAAAGCAAAACCTATAACATCTAAGCAAGCAAATAGTCACAGACAGAGCTAAGTATGTTAGACTAAAATCTTTTGTCAGCCGAAACTTTAAGCGAAAAATAGTTAATTCAGAAGAGAAGACGTTTATAAATTACTGCCAGAACAAAGTTTAATGAATGTAAACATATCTCTAATTTAAATCCTAAAAGAAGCCACTCTGGGTTAAACAAACAGAGCAAAGGAGAAAATAACAGAGGTGAGTATTGAGGTAACCTAAGTTTTGCCCGTGTCATACACGTTCATAGGAAAGCAAGCCAAAACATGTTTCAGATATTATTAGAAACATTTGGCAAGTTAAATACTACAGTTACACGTTTATGAATCACAGGTAGATCCAGCATTGATCAACTAAAAATTGAAAACCACATTAACAGTATTTACCACATTTAAGTTGTGACGACTGCACTGCAGAAGAATGCAAATGTCATTAATTGCTCGGTCAACAACAGACTGCTCTGTTTGCAAAAATAAAATGATAGTTAGATGCCTGTCTTAGAAGTACAGGGAAGAAAGTTCCTTACAACTGTTAAAATTAAGTAACAGATTTATGCAAAGATCTAGTAAAGTATGATATGTGGTTAAATACGTTCCTCTAACAGGTATAGGGACTCCATTTCATCAGCCTATTATAAGTATGACAATACCTAGGGATGAATGTAGATCATTGAGCTAACTTGCTAAATGTAGAGAAGATTTTATAAAATCATTCATAGTCCTTCACTGAAACTACCCCAAAGACAGAACCAATATTCATTACTCATTCCTCAATTTTTAAATCCTGGAATTTGAAATGGACCATTATTGATTTCAAAACAAGGAAATTTTTTTTGTACCTTTGAAAACTGTAGGATGCATGTAGTAAATATCCCTTTTCGAACCATGCCTGTTTTGTTGCAGAAGTGTCTGAACTACAAGCAGCACTCGAAGCAAGACATCTGAATAGGGAACTCACAATATAGAAATTAATATGAACTTTGGTTTGCACTAACAGGAATCAAGATTCAGAATTGGCTGAACAGTCTTCTGGATAGTCATCTAAGGTTTGACCTGGTTCTTGAAAAAAAAATTTAGAGGATAGCAAAGTAAAAGCAAGGAACTGTCTTTCTGGTTTCCAAAAAGAAAAACATTATAGTCTGGGATACAGCAACAAAGTACATCACTCACCCAGTCTACGAGTATGACATTCTCTCTGCAACGTCAATAGCTCCTTCCCCACAGATATACCACAATTGCAGTAGCTGCACAAACACAATCAGACGCTTGAATCTCATGCGTCTGAAATTCTTTTTCCCCTTCTCTTTTTCAGCTAGAAAAAAAATTAAATCTCAAGGGCACTAATCCACTAGTCATTACTATATTTCGTTTCAATTCCACACATCATCTGTCAATTACTAATTAGAAACATCACTACTATACTCATTCCAGAAAAGGGGGAAGTAACTTAATTTCCTACAAAGAATAGCTCGTATGCCCGTTGTTCGGAAACAAAAGACATGTTGCAGAAATTCTAAGAATGACGCTGAAACATAATTTCGAAATTGAACTGACAACTGAGATTAATCGAGAAATTTGGGATGGATATTCCAAAATTAGAAAAAAATACTTGATCGAAGCATTCAAGGAGAAAAATCATGAGTTCAAACCAGTTTCCAGAAGTTTCGGTGCAGTAGTTTCGGAATCGATCAATTTGAACGACCGGCGATTGTCCATTGGAAAGATTCGTGAGGATCGATAACGTCAGCTCTGCAAAACGAAATCAAAAATTAAAAAGTGAAATTATAGTAGAGAAGTTTCTGTTCCTCAGTTGGGGCAGATAATGGTGGTGCTATTACTTCTAATTCTTCTGAGCAAGTCGGAGGGTATGGAACTGCTCAAGCACGAACGCTTTCCCTCCATTTTTTGTCTGTTGGAAGTTGGAACGAGCCTTTTTAAAGTTTAAACGCCGTGACCATAGGCGGGCTGTGGACCAATTGGGCCATTCAAATGTCGAACATGATTCGGCTTTTGCTGGGCCCATGTGGCCGGCACCGAAACCGTCATCATCTTATCATCCTGCAGGGAACGATTGCCACCAGTGTTGTTGGACCCAGTTCTCAAACTTTTCTTTCTTTTTTCATCCAAACATAATTTTGAGTTACCTAAATTGTAATATATGCATTTATTAATAGAAATAAAAAATGCCATTCATTTAATGTAAATATCAAAATGACTCATTTTTCTGAATGATCTCTAAATCAATATGTGTTTCATTCCTATGATTTTATCAATTTAGCATCCAATTTGCATTAGTTTAGTTTTTCAAGTAATTTTGGAGAATGGATATATTTTGCCATGAATTTACATTTTTATATATAATTATTAGATGTATATTTAATTGCAAGTCTAATATATTTGAAACATTTTCTATGATTGGCCGAATATAACCAAGAATTTAATTTTAATATTTTTGAAAACTTATAAAAATATAAAATAATTGTGACATCATACTAACGTCAGTGGATTTTTTATAATGGTTCAACCGATCCGATCAATTAATCCCCGACCCAATAATTTAGTCAAGTCGTTGTTCGATCTGAGTTTAATAAGTTGATTGCCACGGATGATGATTCATAATTTGATTTTTAAAAAAAAAAACTTTTTGCGCTCTTCTATGACTTTCCATGAGCTATAAGATACCTAACTTTGTGTTCTATAGCTATTCAAAAATTGACTTTTGGAAATTCATAAGTATTTGAAAGCACCCTAAGCTAAATGAAGAATCGGAGATGATTTAAAATAGATTTTTAAAATAATACTACAATACTTTCTGTGATGCGATATATGTGTAAAAGAAAAAGAGAAGAAAGATAATTGAAAAATTTGACACAATAAACAAAAACAGGACAATTAGAAAGAGTTGATGCAGGTCAAGAGTCTAGAATGGTCCCTGATTGACAGTGTCTAATACTACTGTAAGAGATGATGATGGTAAGCATGTTGCAATGGCAAAGCTTTAAACAATAGACTATTTTTTTTTTTCTTTTGGAAGGAAAACAATAGACTTATGTGGATACCCATCAATTATATTGAAAACGATAAGCCAAGCTCAACTTGTCCCAAAGTCTAAATATGCTTCGACAATGATATCATATCGGATTCCGTTCTGATCTTCTCCCCATTCAGAACCAAATCTGAAAGTAAATTATACAACTGAAGGTCAGCGAGTCTGCAGAGATTAGGAAGATAAATCATCCCCACAACTCCACAGTGTAATATTCTTTGAAACTTTTGTATACTTTCAACTCCTACATAATATAACCTAGCCCCTCCCCACCCCCTCCTCCCCTTCCCACTACCCCACCAAAAGGAAAAAAAGAAAAAAAAAGAAAAAAAAGAGTTTTTAAGAGCACTAAAATTATTACTGTTGTTGTTGTTGTTATTTTTTCGCCAAATGTAGGATATTTTCATAAAGTCCAGCCGAATGCTTTCATAACTATATATACAGGTTGATGGTAACTTCATTTCCCTTTTTAATTTGATCCTATAATTTGTGCAAAGTACAATTAATTAACACTTGGTATTGGGCATGTGTCAATTATGCATTAGCGTGGTGAGCTTTACTCTACTGGAAACACTGATCCAGAAACTTTTTCTCCCGGGAACTGGGTCATCCTGAAAACGATGCCAAGCCCTTCGGATCCACGATGTTCTAGCAAATTCTGAGCAGGATTCCGAGCCTTCTACTTTCTAGTGCGGCAGAAAACCAGAATTTCTGGACGGAACCCTTATTGCCAAACTGTGCTTCCACTGTGTGAGTTTTTCTAGCCCAGATCATTTGCGGTTTTATGCTACTTGACCCCATCGTTCTCTAACTTGTAAATTGCTTTCTCCCTGCCTTGCTTACATATCTGAATTCATCTGATTATAATGCCACTTTTATATGTACTCCCCTCGTGTTCATTTTTCAAACCTAGTGGTTCGTTACTCTTTAATGTGGACTGTAGTGTATATGTTTTGTTTTCTTGATGATTAATCAGGCCGTGAAGTGGAAATCGATTTCTTGTAGTTGTGGTTTTGCAGTATTATCTTTTAGCCTAATTGATTTGAAAACCAATCACTTTCTTCAGAATAGTTTCTTTTTCTTTTTGGAATTTTACAAGGTAAGAAGCCCAAGCACTTACTGTAATTTTAGCTAGTTGTGTCAAAGTTAACATCTTTAATCAAACAGAACGAAACTGCGTTTGGGGGATCAATCAACTTGGGAGTTTAAAGGGATAGAAGCCTACAAATCGTGAGCTGCAAAACTAAATGGGGTTTGATGCGCTATTTTCTCACGGTGTTTTTTCTATTTCCTTTTTTTGTTAATTTTTTTGAAGGGAAGGGTAGGAAATAAGGAGCTGGAATGGGGTTTTGGATGGCTGAACCAGCAGTCGAAGATCAGGAAGAGTGATCCTTGACCATCTGGCCATATTCAATCCTATATGGAGGTTTTCCCTAACACATTTTCACATCAAATTTTTAATGACATATATTACATCTGGAAAAGTGCTAAGGTATCGTTTATCTAAAAGATGAGCTACCGTTATTGGCATTAATACGCAAACAAAATATATTTCTTTGAAAGTAGTATTGGTGAACTTCAAGGATGCTAGCAAAACCACTTCTTATATATTACATCACAGTCTGTAGAGTGTGATATATTGTGCTTCTTAGGTCCTTAATATGTTAAAGCTGTTAATATCGTGCAGGGTATTGCTCTACATTTGCTGGATGGCCGAGAGTGGTGTAAAACAACCATTGTTAACTGAATCACTTGATGTTGCGCCAAAAACTAACCAAAAAATTAATCACAGAAGAAGATTCCGCCGATGCAAAAGTGCACCACTAGCAGAATTTACCCCTGGAGAATTGAATGGAAAGGATGGCTCACTTCCTCGCTCTGAATCCATCTTCAATAAACTCCATCCAAGTATAAGGAAGGTTGCCATTTACTTATTCTTGTACCTGGCTGTAGGCGCCATCTGCTTTTACATTGTTAGGCACCAGATTGCAGGAGAAAGGACTGATGGAGTTCTTGATTCGGTTTACTTTTGCATTGTGACAATGACCACTGTGGGATATGGAGACCTTGTGCCTAACAGTGTAGCTACGAAACTGCTAGCCTGTGTTTTTGTATTCTCAGGGATGGCATTAGTTGGTCTGATGCTGAGCAGAGGAGCAGATTACTTAGTAGAGAAGCAGGAGGCATTGTTGGTTAAAGCATTGAATTTACGCCCAAAAGTTGGACCAACAGAAACGACGGAGGAGATTGAAACACGCAAGGTCAGCTACAAGTGTGCAACTGTATTTATCTTTTTGCTGGTGTTGATAGTAGTTGGGACAGCCTTCCTGACCATAGTTGAGAAACTAGACATTGTTGATGCCTTTTACTGCGTCTGCTCCACCATCACAACCCTTGGTTACGGGGATAAAAGTTTCTCGACCAAGGCTGGGCGTATTTTTGCAATTTTTTGGATTTTGACAAGTACACTTTGTTTGGCTCAATTTTTCCTTTATGTTGCTGAGCTGAACACTGAGAAGAGACAGAAGGAACTGGTTAGATGGGTCCTTACTAAGCCGATGACCAACGTGGATCTTGAAGCTGCTGATCTTGATGATAATGGTATAGTTGGGTGAGTATATCTGCTGCCTAGAATTGATTCTGCAAACTCTTATTGCTGGTTCTTTTGTCACTGTGCTCCTCATTTACTAAGTTGTTGCCAGATATTAAGGGGCTTTGTTTTCCAATTACTAATTACCTTTTTCTTGCTTGTATGATAGTGCTGCTGAGTTTGTCATATACAAGCTCAAAGAGATGGGAAAGATCAGCCAAGAAGATATCTCAGTTGTGCTGGAAGAATTTGAATATCTTGACGTTGATCAGTCTGGAACTTTGTCAACCTCTGATATATCCCTCGCCCAATCATCTTAAACTGCGATGTGATTACCTTATCTTTAAAAAAAAAAAAAAATAGTGATGATATCCTTTCTGCTAGTTGCTTGTCGTCATATAGAAATTCTTCTTTGTTGTCTACCATGCTTCACGCAGAAGCATGCTCCTTTCAACTTGTCATGAATGTAAATGAACTTGATGTTCTTGTCTCAGAACTGTGGGATGATGGCACAAGTTCTTTCTTCATGATGAGTATTTAGAAAAAGTTAGCCAATTCAGTCACTGGACGCGTTAACATCTCCTGTAGGGGCTTCCAAGATTGTCAGTTTGTTCTATGTTCAATTGCAGTCCCATTAAAGATAGACCTCTCCAATAGAGCTATCCGATTATGCACGTAACTAAATGGATATGCCCTTTGCTCTAGAGGAGGATGGGGCTTGGGTTGGCGGAGAGAGAGAGAGAGAGAGAGAGAGATGCTCTCTGGATCCTGCTTAGAGCTGTTAATCGAGCCGAGTCGAGCCGAGTATTTGGCTGCCGAGCTCAACTCGAGTTTAATTCGAGCCGAGCTCGACTCGAGCTCGTTAGGAAAACGAGTTTTAAAATGTGTTCGAACTCGACTCGTTAAGTGTACATGTGGCTCGAGCTCGAGTTCGAGCTCGACTCGTTTATCACAAACGAGTCGAGCTTCATGAGCTCGAGCTCGAGCTCGTGCAAATTAATCTTAATAAAAATCTATAATTTTTAATTTTTATAATTTTGATTTCTAAAATGACAAATATGCCCTTCATTAACGAGTTCTAACGAGCTACTCGAGTATCAAACGAGCCGAACTTACTCGGCTTGTTAACTAAACGAGCATGTTTCAAGCTCGAGCTCGACTCGTTAACCAAAATTAACGAGCCGAGCTCGAGCCTTAACGAGTCGAGCTCTAACGAGCTTTCGAGCTACTCGATTGACTTAACAGCTCTATTCCTGCTTAAATGGAATTTTCTTGTTAGTGCCTTCATTCATTTTGGAGACCAGTTTTTCCCTCATCCCTAAAGGGTTCTACTCCACTCCAGATTACACTCGGGGCTTGGGGTTACACCAAAAAATAAGAAAGAAGATTCTTTCTCCTGCTGTCCAAACTTAGGGGTGGAATTTTAAGAAGCGAGAGGAGAAAAATGTACCCAAGATTTTAGTCATTTGATTACGGTTTCACTTTTTTTTTTTTTGGGAGAAACGGCTAGGGACCTGTGTTGTCAGTTGGGCATCGGGAGCATCATTTGTAATGATCCGATCATTTACCAGAGTATGTTGTTGGGTTATGAAGAAATCCTTTATGGACCTCCACCACCCATAGGCCCACAGGATCGGAGGCGTAGCAGCTGCTGAAGTTCCATTCCCCACTGGTTACGGTCCAGTTTGGCTACCGTCCGTTTGGAACAAGGTAAAAGTCTTATTTATCCCTACCCCTATTTATATCTACTTAAAATTTTTTTCAACTTTTCTTTTTTCTTTTTTTTTTAAGTGTAATGGAATTAGAATCTCCCAACTACACTATTATCTTTCCCGGTGCTGCCCCAACCCATCCCTCCTCTATCTAATTAAAGTTAATCAGTAAAGGCCAACAACCTAAGAATATTGTCCATTTTAAGACAGTTTCATAATTTCCGACCTGATGAAAAAGACTGGCACCTAACTAGAGCTGTTAATCGAGCCGAGTATTTGGCTGCCGAGCTCGACTCGAGTTTAATTCGAGTCGAGCTCTACTCGAGCTCGTTAGGAAAACGAGCTTTAAAATGTGTTCGAACTCGACTTGTTAAATGTACATGTGGCTCGAGCTCGAGCTCGAGCTCGTGCAAATTAACCTTAATAAAAACCTATAATTTTTAATTTTTATAATTTTGATTTCTAAAATGACAAATATGCCCTTCATTAACGAGTTCTAACGAGATACTCAAGTATCAAACGAGCCGAGCTTACTCGGCTCGTTAACTAAACGAGCATGTTTCGAGCTCGAGCTCGACTCGTTAACCAAAATTAACGAGCCGAGCTCGAGCCTTAACATTCGAGCTCTAACGAGCTTTCGAGCTACTCGATTGACTTAACAGCTCTACACCTAACCCCTGATTACTCTTGTTTAGACATCACGAAAACTTGGTGTTGCCAACAAGAATGAATGCAGAGTGCCCAACTATTGGACAATATTTACCTAAAATCTTTTACTTTGTTATATTTAATTACTTGAAATTGTTGTTAAAACCCATGATTTAGTAAACAATCATGTATCCCCCTTCACTTCGTACATCAGTCCAATTGGATGGAATACAAGTAATTCAAAGAGCCTTTAATCTAGCAACTGAATTTGAGATTCCAAAAACCCACAAAATCCTAACTTCTTAAATTTCGGACAAATAAATAATATTGGAGCAATTTCCTTAAGAGTTGCTTGGCCAACCATGATAATATTTTGTTTTTTTTTTCTTGTGCATAGAAAGCTAAGGCCTTTTTGGATTGCAATTTTTCATCTAAAAAGTTTTACGATTTCGTAAATATATTTTTAAATCATTTTTTAATTTCACATTATATCAAATTATTATGGTATTACTCATATGTTTCGCGGACATCATAAACATATTTTTCAACCCACTTTTTTATATTTTTAACCATTTTCTTTATCTCAAATCCATCGTATCACAAAAAATGTTACAGTAATTATTTCAAATAATAGTAGTCTATCCTAACAAATTCATAACTATTCAAAGGGTTCGACAAATAATTTTCATACTTGAAATTCACAAATTGAATATGGTCGTTGCTTCATAAACATCTACGCAATAATAAAAATCATCAAGGGATTGGGCAAAGATTAAGATAAAAGCAAAAGTCATTGTCCCGACATGGAGAAATGAGCAGACGGACCTAAGTCCTTTCTAAGGTATTGTCAGCCAACAGTGTCTGTCGATGTCAAATCACAGTCAAACGAGCGTCTCCAACTCTAATCTAATTCAACCCCTTTCATCATTTCCACATTGATTGAGAAAACCGATGGAATAAAAACAAAAAAAAGTACTGCCCTTTGCCGAAAGCAAAATCCCATTTTACTATGAACCACCACCAAATTCAAAATATGTTTATCAATTGTAACTTCTGCCAGAAAAATTGCACTTGGTGATACTCAAAGTGGTGAGAATAATTGTACATATGAACCACCCAAACGAAAAGGAATTAGGGGACCCAACTATCAAGCAGCAAGAGTGATCTGAACGACATTTATTTAATTTCTGCAATATACAATTCCCAACCTGTCAAAGTCCTTGATCTCCTTAAACTACAAACAATAATAATGTCAAGAGAGAGAGAGAGAGAGAGAGAGAGAGAGAGAGAGAGAGAGAAATCCAAGGAAAGAGAGAAACGTTAGAAGCTAGCAATTGATTTATGCAAGCGTTACTTGTTACTACACCATGCTTTTTACTCGTCATCATTTTCTGCTATTCCTTTTCCTTTTGCTGCTGCTGATGCTGGTGCTGATACGGCTGCCTCCTCTGCTGAATCATGTTCATCTACTTGGGTTTGTAGATTATCTGGCTCGCCAGCCACGTAATCCAAAATCCCTTCACCGGCTTTTTCACCCGAAGCCTCCGGAGGCGGCGGAGAAATCCGGCCAAACACCACTATGGCCACCAGGAAAAGAGCCGTTGAGACCAAAAGGGGCCAAAAGTACTTGAGAATATCTAGGAAACTGGGTGCAAGATAGACCAAAAAAATAAGTAAAAGGCTTAAAATGGCCCCAATTAAGATATGCACCTTGAACTTCAAAAGCTTTTCTGGGATATCCATAGCCGCTGAGATGGAGGTGGAGATGGGCTTGTGAGTTGTGATAGGCTGTTGTGGGTTTCTGTAAGAAAGAGAGAGAAGGAAGAGAGGGAGTGGGGGCCTGAGGTTTTGGGGGGCTTTTATCTTTCTTGCAGAGATTCTCTGGCCGGGAAAAAAAAATTTTTCCTTTTTTCTAAGGCTTTTAACTTCGAAGACTGTAAATATGGTGCAGTCTATTTTCGTGCCTTTATTTTAAAAGATTGAGATTTTGTTCCCATATTACCCATGACGGGTTTTTTTTTTTTGGAAGGAACCCATGACAGGTTCCAAAACATGCCAAAATGAAAAGGAAAATAAAGGACCATAAAAATGGTAAAATCCTGTCCATTTTTCTGACCTTAGCAAGATCAACCATCTATCTATGCACACGATCCTTCCACAACATGTGAAGGCAATTGAAGATTTGAGGTACATGCGTTTGTATGGATAGTAGTTAATTTAGATGATTTATTTGAAATAGTTACTATAATATTTTTTGTGATGTGATGTATACGAGATAAAAAGATGATTGAAAAAATAAAAAGATAATTAAAATTTGTGAAATAAATTATTTTTTTTCAAATCATCTCAATCCAAACACACTTCGATTAACCTTTTTTTTCGTTCATTCATAAATTATTGTATTTATGGAAGGATTTTGATTCACTTTTCATATTTGTGGATGCAAGAAGAAAGTGACAAAAGCCTATTAAAAATGATTAAATTTTTTTTAATAAATATTAACAATGATTAACTAAAATACATTTTAGCATTAAAAGTTTGGAACTAATTAATACGTTTGAACGCTCTCAATACTTGTCTCAGTCGATTAAGTAAACCACAGAGACCAGAAGTCCATGCTTTTATTGACAACACCGTAGAATTACAAATACAGCTGAGGGTGTAAGAGTCATTTGGGACTGAGAAATTGGAGATTTCACGAACCCGCGGCCACATAACCCCATGTCCTTTCTCGGATGTGTCGGCTACTTTTTGATCAGGGCTGTGTCCTTTAGCACTGAACTATTTTTTTTTTTTTTTTTTTTTGGGGGGGAAGTCTATTATATGGTGGGTGAGGACTGAGGCGGGGTTGCTTAGATCCAGCAGCTCGGTCCCGTTGGCTAGAGGGAAAGTTGTTCCACCATCTTATACCATGCAGGAATAATTCTATTCCCAGATCTTTTTGGGTGGGTGGGTGGCTGGTGTGTCCCTGCGGGAGCCAGGTCACAAATTGTACTACTTAATAAATTCTTGAAGTTCCGTAAACAAAAGTAGACAATTCTTTTTTCAATTGTTTATTGACTAATTTATTACTATATATTATTCTTCAATCACAACATTGCCTTGTTTGGATTGCTTGTTTCCGTCGAAAAACATTATCGTTTTTCGTGATCACATTTCCCTATCACTTTTTTCCCTCACATATATCAAATCGCTATAATAATTTTTCCATGAAAAATGACGAAAAATGCAATCCAAACACAACCATTTTAATTTTCTTTAACAATATTTTCATTTCATG